GAGATTAAAGTGATGACTTTTATAAGAATGACCCGGGAGATAACATCAATCAACAGGTGTGTGTTTACTGGTACAAACTGACACAAAACAGCTATATTTGTTTGAACAAAACAAAGTAAATTAAAGCTGTGTCTCAGATTTTTTTCATTGTTTTTCCACAAAACTCTCAGGGAGGGCATTCTCTATGAAGAAGTCAGTTTATGTGTTTGTAGATAAATATGAGCTAATTTAAATCCTACACTGTGTTAAACTGTTTAAGGGTTTTGGGAATTTTAGCTAAATTGTTTATTTATTTGAAATCATATTTTATGTAAATTAATACAGGATCACATGACATGATTTACAGTTTTCACTTAGATTCTGTTGATTTTGTTTGTTTAGTAAGTTGTTATTATTTTCAATCATAGTTTTTAATTGAAAGTATGTTTAGCTAGTTTATAAATTGCGATTTTTCAACATAAAAAAACATCTTATGCATGTTGATGCTTGGTGATAAAAGTTGACACAGGAAGGGTGATTTTGCAGTTTTGATCAATTTAAAAGGTGATATTTGACAGTTATTACAGATAGACCCTCTGCTCGGTATGAAACTGATTTTTTTAAGAAGTTGATTGATGAATCCTTTACAGTCATTCTTTAGTAGTATATGCTGGTATTGTCAATATATATGCAGATAAAAGATGGTGATTGTGAGGGTAAAACTGTGTAGTGGTGGTGGGGTTCATTCTCATGTTCAACAAAAGTTTTAACACGTTTAAAAACAGATGGACATACACAGATATTTAGAGCAGAGATTCTTAGAGCGCCACCTTGAGGGCCTCAAAAGAACAACAGTTTTAAACTTTGGGCCGCAGAGGGCCGTGGGACCGCATTGATTTTGAATAAGGTGCAATACACTTTCTCACCACGAGTAGCGGTAGTGCACCACTCAGATGTTTAACAACTTTTACTATGTAGAAGAAGAACCTTAGAAACCTGCCGAAAATGGAAACTTATTTTAAATGAAAAGTAGAAGCAAAAATGAAGGTAAGCCATCAAAAAAGGCCAAAGTTTGCCACTAATATGAAGTACAGTTTCTATTTCTACCATGCAAAAGTTTAAAAAGGCTATATTTTCATTTGTACTTTATCAAATTTAGTTTTACAGATTTTT